GAAGAAGAAGAAGAAGAAGAAGAAGAAGAAGAAGAAGAAGAAGAAGACAGTCTTGATAGCCTCACACCTTCAAAGTAACCCCTTCTATGCTCCTGAGTCAAATTCTGGCTGACTCCCATGACTGCTTTCTCAAACTTCCTTTGATCTAGGATTTGACTAAGCAAAAGTCCTTGGCACAGATTTCTGATCAAAAGGCTTGGTCCTCCCTGTCTGCCAGGTCTTATCGTTGGGGAGGAAATGCAGGAAGGGGATAAAGAGTACAAAGGAAGAATTTCATTATTCGCCCAAGTTCAAAATGACTCACTGCTAAGCACCTGATCAGAAGGTGGGATGCAAATATTTTTACTACCAGTTCCATGAGTGTGGCTAGGTGGGCATGGCTAGGTGGGCTTAGCCCTGTGGGCATGAGGCACAGCTGATCATTGGAACAGCTGATTGTCAAGAGGAAAAAGAAAATAGAAAAAAAGATACCGGTTGGGATGAACCGATAGCTGTTTTTTTAACTACCGGTTCACTCGAACCGGACCGGACCGGTAGAAATACCACCACCGCACCTCATTCATCTCCATTTCAGCTGTAGTGTGGTTCCCCCAAAACTTGGGAGGGGATCCACCAGCCCAGTGCAATCAGCCCCAAATGTGAGTTCCTCCTCTCCTGTTTTTTCACACTCAAGTCTCAGTGAATTGTGCTCATTCAGACGGGTCTAACTCACCCAAAGTGCTCTGGATGACTTGTGCTCTTTAGAGAGTTAACGCACCAGCTTGCTCAAAAGTTCGTGAATCCTTTTATTATTTGGAAACAAGGAGAGTGCAAAAAAAAAAAAAAACCCCAAACCCCTAGCTGGGTGGAAATGCTTCTCTGGGAAAGCATCTCTACGGAGATTCTCCGTCATCCAGATCATGGTTGTCCCAAAAGTGCTTTTTTTCCTTCCCCCCCAAGAGGCAACTAACTGGACTTTCTGGTTTTTCTTTGAAGACGTTTCGCTTCTCATCCGAGAAGGTCTGACTGACAGGATAGCGGGGAATGGAAGGATTTAAATAAAAGGATGCAAATGACCAACAAGGAATATCAATCCTTCCATTCCCCACCATCCAGTCGGAGCTGAAGAAGCTTCTTGGATGAGAAGCAAAACGTCCTCAGAAGAAAAAAACTAGAAGGTCCAGTTGCCTCTTGAAAAAAAAAAAAAAGCACCTTTGGGACTTCTCCGCTTTGATACTCAACAAGGGAGGGTCAGCCCATTATAGAGAGTTTAATAGAGCAAAAAGAGAAGTGAGACCTATTTAAATATTGAGAGGAGCCTCCGATGCACTTCGAAGGAAAAGGGAGGCTTCATTCTTGCGAAGCGTTGAGCGATGCATCTTCCGGGAGGAAGAAGAGCTGAGTTATGATTGACAGCTTATGCGTCCGGAGGGAATTAGGCGCCATTTTCTACTTCAGCTTTCCCACCGCTTCTCTTCTGGACTCATTTTGCGTCATCTATATATATATATATATGAGACTCAATATATATATATTACAA